ATTCAACATATAACAAAGGGCACAGAGATTAGAGGCAGATAAAACAACAGTAAGGGGCTATGTTAATAGGCCAGGTCGTACGTGGTGAAAAATTACACAAAGACACTACAAGTAGGAATGCAGAGGATACAAAGATTTAAGAAGCAGAATCTAGAAGTTATGGAGAAGAGTCATCAGTGACTCTAGGCTTTATTGCTAGGTTTTTATTGTTTGGTTGATTATGTGACTGTTGGTCAAGGAGAGAAACTGGAGTCAAGGAGTTTGATGGCGAATTCAATTTTAAACATATTAAGTGTAGAGGTGTCAAGTTAAGATGTCTGATTAACAGACAAATGGATGGGTCTGGGCTAAGAAAAAGCATTCAGTTGGAGATGGAGACAGTCATATAGGTTACATAAATAGCAGTTGAAACTCTTAAGTGGATGACATGACCTAAATAAGGAGTAGCAAGATAAGAGAATAAAAAGAGCAATGAGAGAGTTTCGTGGAAATCCACGGTAGAGTATTATCACAGAAGACAAGGAAGGGAAGGGTTTAAAGATGGAAGGAAAGTACAACAACCTTAAATGTAGTAAAGTCAAGTGTGTTGAAAACCTAAAGAGAGAGTATATGACATGACATCTAGGAGATCTTCGGGTAACTCTTGCAAGAGCAGTTTCAATAATGATCTAAATGGAAACTGCCAAAAAATAGGGTGGTAATTTGAGTAAGTGCTCTTAAATAAAGATTGACTTAGGAAATAAATGTGTTTGCAAGCTAAAGACTAGGCAGTAGAGCATAATAATCAAGGTGTAGACTTTATAGACCTGGGTTCAAATCTCACATCTGCTCTTTCCGAGTTGTATAAACTTGGGCAAGTTGCTTAATTTTTCTGTCCCAATTTCCCTAACTGAAACATTGGGAAAACAACAGTACCTACTACATAGGATTATTGTGAAAATTATATGAATTGATAAATGCAAAGTGTTCAATAGAGGGCTTGGCACACAGTAGGTATTCAATAGGGCTTCCCTGATAGTTCAGTTGGTAAAGAATCCGCCTGCAATGCAGGAGACCCCAGTTCGATTCCTGGGTCAGGAAGAGCCACTGGAGAAGGGATAGGCTACCCACTCCAGTATTCTTGGGCTTCCCTTGTGACTCAACTGGTAAAGAATCTGCCTGCAATGCGGGAGACCTGGGTTCAATCTCTGAGTTGGGAAGATCCCCTGGAGAAGGGAAAGGCTACCCACTCCAGTATTCTGGGCTAGAGAATTCCATGGACTGCATAGCCCATGGGGCTGCAAACAGTCTACAGGACTGAGCAACTTTCACTTACACTTTTCACTTTCAGATATAGATAAATGTTATCTATATTAGGCGGGAATGGGTGGATGGGTGGAAGAACCAAAGAAAAAGGAATTGAAGAAAAAGAAGCTGATGGAACAACTTTTCAGAAGGTATAGGAAAGAATGAATCCTCTTTAACTTATGAGCTCTGTGTCCTTTGGTAAGGCACTTTACATTCCTGTGCCACAGTTTCCTATTCTGTAAAATATAAATGATAATATTGCTTACCTCACAAGGTTATTGTGAGGAGTAAATGAAATGATACATGAAACACACTTCCCTACTGGGAAGAACTTGAGGAGAAGAATAGTATATAACCTACATGAAATTATGTGTGCCAGCAAGACCGAAATTTTAAAAAAAAAGTTTTCAAGTGAATAATTTTCACAATTTCATGCTAGAGTAAAATAGTGCTATACAATCCTGTGAATGTTTTCTTAACAAGGTTAAGCATTCTTCTAGTGCTAATAAATTTATTGTGATTTTTTAAAATTAAATTATGCTGAAAATATTTTTTGTATCTCAGTAGTTTCAAATATGTTTGAAATCTTTTTCAGATAATTGCTATGAAACAATGGCTAGTATAAAATTAAATGTTACATGAATTCAGCAATAAGCTTACTAATTTTTTCAAATCATAAAATCATAATCTATCTTGATTGTGTTAAGATGAACAAATGAAGATTTATCCTCCTTACAAGAGTAGAATTTTAAATATAATAATAAATATAATAATTGTCGATTATTTATCTTCTTTAAAAATGACTCCCTATCTCACTCGGAATAAAATCCAAAGTATTTACAAGGTCCTATATGATCTGGCACTTCTCTGTCTCTCTGAAATCATGTGCTACCACTCCCCTCTTCACTCCAGTGATACTGGCTTTGCTATTCCTTGAACACATCAAGCCTTTGCAATTCTATTTTCTCTGTCAAGAATACTCTTCCCTTGGGTATTCTCATGGCTAGTTCTCTCACTTTTTTCATATATATTCTTAAAAATCATCATATCAGAGAAGCCCTCCTTGACTGTTTATTAAATAGACCTCCCCAATCCCTCTGCTATCTTATTCACACCCCCCCCCCAAAAAAACCCATCCACTAACATACACTCATTAGAATACAATCTCCAAAAAGGCAGGGGACTTATCTTGCAGACTCTCCAGAGTCTTGTGCAGTGATGGCACAGAGTAGGTTCTCAATAAGTATTTGTTGAATTAATGAATGAATCTCATAACACAATGTACTTTCCTATTGATACCTTTGTCTTTCATAGGTCCTTATCCTTGAACACTGAGAAAAAGCCAGGAAGGAACTCAGACCAAAGTAAATGTAGGCATAGGCTATACCAGTCTAAGCAAGAACAGCCTAGGCTACCAGAGTTCAGAAGAGGAGTTGGGGGATCAAAACTACTGCTTGTGAAATAGAAAGAGAGAGGACAAAGTGTTCTTTCTGCAATTATTTCTTACGAAGCCCTTTTGCCTCTGTGTAGACAGAAACTGTCTGCAAACACAAAAAGCAGAATGAATGACAACAAACTAATTTATCTGGGAAAGTCACTTGAAACCTTTGGAGAAAGATTTCTATTGCTTGCCTGTAATAACTGTTAGTGGGTTCACAAAATTTTCACTGTCCTAGGAAGAGATTAACCATATTTCATCAACCATATTTTTTATGACAGCTATATCCTGCATCTAGAAACTATCCCAAAGAAAAACCAACATGAACACAAAGGGACAATCAAATATTAAAATGGAAGCACAGCAATACCTAACATATTCTATGCTTATCAAATTTAGGAGGTTGGCTGTGGAGTCAGCATACAGTTCCTTCCCACTCTCCATGCCAGGGGTGTGGGGAGCAGATTTTAGTGTGTGTGACAAGTACAAGTGGCTCTTGGCTCTAGAACAGGACTGCACTCCCACTGGTGAAAGTAGCCAGGAGGGCTCCAGTTGAATTCGTGTTTCCTTTGTTTTTAGGACCCCCACAGACCAGTGACTTTAGACAGAAAGAACACTGAAGGTTTCTTCTTTATCTGAATCCAGTGGATTCAATGTTATAGCCATTCAGAATAAGGTCATTCTGGGGTTTGGAAAACCAATTGAGAAAAGAAGGGATGGAGGAAGGTGCTTTAATAAATGGTGCTGAGAAACCTAAAACCAATACAGGCCCTTAATGGGAGCTGACACTGGGGATGCAATGAAATCTAGCACATTAAAAAATAGAGGGTCTCTGCCTTGCATTTAATACCAGAGATAGCTGAACTGGGAAACTGCAGAGTGCTAGAAGCTATGGCATTCCACTGACCAAATAGAAATGCATAGATATGCACAAACAATTCATACCTAAAAAAAAAAAAAAAGACACCCAGAGTGAAATATTAGACCTAAAACCTCAAACAACATATTGTCTTATATGTGACATGCAGGATATCATTAGGCCCCATTCAGACCTGCCATCCTCCTTAAGCAGAAACATAAGAAAAATAAACTTAGAAAAGATGCCACTGATCCATATGCGGCCTTCTAACAAGTTTCCACCACACTAGTTCTTTTATTTAACAGCAGAAGGGAGCTGGTAAAGCCCTCCTGCCCAAGACAATCTTCCAGGCTGGACATGGACATGGGAGTAACAGATCAGCCAAGGTAGCCTTAGCTTCCCTATTGAAACATCCTGCCCTTCTCTCTTTGAATGCCATTTTGACTTGAGTTCCTGTCTCTTTCAGCTGAATCTCCCAGTCACTTGGGCTTGGGCATATGGATGCTTGATACTAAAGACAAGACAATAAAGATGAATAATGGGAACCTTCACGTGACACATGCTTGATAAATGCTGAAATCAAATTCAACAGTCGACTCTAGGAAGAAACCTTGGCCACCAATCTGTTAAGAAAGGAGTCAGTGACATCACTCTACATGGTCTTTACATATTACAGACATTCAGCAGTGGGATCAGCCACAGACAATGAACCTAGCTTTTGATAAATATTTGTAGAATAAATTATTTTTTGAAATCTTGATAAATTTTCCTCTTGAGCTAAAACTGCAAGGCCAGTTGACTCTGCAGTTAACTAATGTACAACTTGGCAGCATAGCCCAGGATGCGCCTCCTGAGAATCAACTGGATATTAGAACAAGTTTGGAGGCTGGTATAAGGAGGAAAAACTGGCCTCTCTGTACAAATTCCCCCAACACACCTTGTGTCATAGTAAGATGAGTCAGTGCCATCCTTTCCGAAATCGAATTTTCAGTACCTATTTCCCACAGCTGAACTGGTGCACTGCCGCTTTAAGAAGCTGGGCAAGATGGAGCCCTCCCAACTCACAGCTAGAAGCTTTAAGCAGCCAGATAACGCGCTGGATTGTGACAAAAAGAAAAAAATGCCTAGAGGGGTAAGTCGAGGCTCTAAGGGCAGGAGAGGAAATCAAGGCTCTAATCAAACAACCAGCAAACTCTGAGCTTCCTATCCCGTGGATGGCAGCTCCACTAGGCTTTAAAGCGCCACCCCTCCTCCGTTCCCCTCCCCTTCTTACCCCACCCTACCCGGTCCAACCCTCTGTGTCCTCCTTGAAAGAGTCTCCTTCGGTAAGGTGGCTCTTTGCCGCCCAGAGAATACCCCAGTGAGGGCAGCAAAAGGAAGGGGAGAGGGTGGGTAAGCAAAATGAAAGGGACTTACTTTCGGACTCTGCGCCTCCAAAGGCATCCTCTGCTCCTAGCCCCGGGCCAGGCCGATGGGGCGGGGCCGGGGTTGAGGTGGTGGACCCGGGGTCTTCACTCACTCGTACTACAAATCTAATTCAGTGGAGTTAGGAACGGGCACCGACTAGGGCCGTTGTACAGTAGGTTTTAATTATCTCAAAAGGAGATAGAAGAGTCTGAGAGAGTTGATCAGGGTAGGAATGGAGGTGAGCTTTAAAACCCTCCTATCCTCCCTTTCTAGCTAGCTTCCCCCGTCTGGCATTAGCGATTTCAGGGGCTACGGTTTTCTTTTTTCTTCCTTTTGGTTTCTCCCAGCTGCCTGTCCCAGACCCCACCCAGCGGCTCCACCCCATCCACTGCTACACATTCTGTCAATCACCAGCCCCTTTAAAGCTGCACCGCACAACTTGGGTTTTCATCTCTCTTTGGCGGGCAGACAGAATCACGGGGTTCCTAGCATTTCCAACAATACCTCCGACCTCTCTGGTGAGTTTAGGAAGCTCACGTTATTGCTAGTGGCGGCCTTCTCTCCCCCTCTGCCCTGAAGCTTGCACACTTGGCTCCACCCAAGCTCCTTCCGGCGGGCCAGACCACCAAACCCCACCCCATCTCTTTTCTTTACTTTGTTTCTAGTTTAAAAAAAACAAATTGGTTCCCTAGGCTTCCAGATCGCCAAGAAGGTTCCTGCAGCGCCCTCGTTGGCGCTGCCCAATCTCATAGTTTCTGTGCTGAAGTGGCTACGGCAGATTTCCTTTGCCTGGGGACTCTCCGTTTTGCCTGGCCCAATGTGATCAGTCTTCTCTATCTCATCTGTGTAAATCTCCAGGTTTACGAACACAATCAGGAGGGAGGAGGCAGAGATTCCCCAAAATGTGCTTCATTGTTCTTAGCCAAAACGGGAATCTCACACCAGCGCCCCACTCCATAATTAGGCTGGTCAAAGTTGGAGCAGGACCCTGAGGTCCCGTCTACAGGTATTAGTGGAACTCTAGAATGACCCATCAGAAATCATGTTTAATGTCTTTCTCCGTTCCAGTTAATGGGAACATCTGGTTGTTCAGACCAAAAAGCAGAGACATTACTTTGCCAACAAAGGTGCATCTAGTCAAAGTTATGGTTTTTCCAGTAGTCATGTATGGATGTGAGAGTTGGACTGTAGCCCTCCAGGCTCTTCTGTCCATGGGATTCTCCAGACAAGAATACTGGAGGGGTTGCCATGCCCTTTTCCAGGGAATTTTCCCCACCTAAGGATCCAGCCCACCTCTTGTGTCTCCTGCATTGACAGTCAGATTATTTACCACTAGCACCACCTGGGAAACCCTTCCTGGTCACAGACACTACCATCAATAGATCCAGCCCCTGCCTAACTCTTTGATGTGATTTATAAAAACATTGTATACTGTCCTCTAGCAACACTGGGGTTGGATGGCATCACTGACTCAATGAACATGAGTTTGAGCAAGCTCCAGGACGTGGTGGAGGATAGGGAAGCCTGGAGTGCTGCGGTCCACAGGGTCGCAAAGAGTTGGGCACAACTGGGTGGCTGAACAGAACAGCAACAGCAACACTGATCTCCTTTTTATACCCATATGCTAGGATCCATCTGACCTTAGGAACTTTGTACTTGCTTTTCTTTCTACCTGGTTCTGCCCATGGTGGGCCTCTATATCCTTCAGAACTCAGGAAAGAGAGATTAAAGTAAGTCGGATAGCCCAGGCATTCTCTGTGACCTTATCCCTTCCCTTTTTATTTTTATCACAACACTGATCACAGTCCAAAACAATATTATATGTGTGTTTGCTTCTGTGGTAAAATGTATTTCCCACTAGAGTATAAGCTCAGTAAGAACAGAGATTTCATCTATTTTGTTCTCTGCTCTGTCCTCAGTATACTGAACAGTGGCTGCCATATAGTAGGGGCTCAATTAATATTTGTTGAAAGAATGATTGAAGGTAGGCTCTTCTTGCATCTATCTGAATGTTATCTTGTTTTTAAACAACAAACAAAAAAGACGGCAAAGAGAAGTGAACCTGGTTATGAAACACTGGCCCCATATATTCCCTCTTAGAACATCTGGATACCTTGTCTCTGAGCTGAGTCAGCCATGGTTGGAGCAGTAGTAATGTGCTTTTAGGTTGGCCTTTAGAGTTTGCAGCTGATTGCTGGGGGTTGAGTTCAGTATTCTTAGTTTTGTCATGTCAGTGCTAGAGAGCATAGTTCTTGAGGGCCACCTGATTTATTTGAATTAATAGAATCTTTGTCTCTAGATGTGTTCCTTTTTTGGAGTCAAATTATCTATATGTTCTGTCATACCCCCCAAGTATGTAGTAAAACTCACTGGATTCCCACTACTTCCCAATGAAGTTGTTGTTCAGTTGCTCAGTCGTGTACGTCTTTGTGACCCCATGGACCACAGCACACCAGGCTTCCCTGTCCTTTAACATCTCCCAGAGTTTGCTCAAACTCACGTCCATTGAGTCGGTGATACCATCCAACAATCTCATCCTCTGTTGTCCCCTTCTCCTCCTGCCTTCAATCATTCCCAGTGTCAGGGTATCTTCCAATGTTTTCACTCTTCACATCAGGTGGCCAAAGTATTAGAGCTTCAGTTTCAGCATCAGTCCTTCCAATGAATATTCAGGGTTGATTTCCTTTAGGATCTACTGGTATGATCTCCATGCTTTCCCAGGAACTCTCAAGAGTCTTCTCCAGCACCACAGTTCAAAGGCATCAACTCCTCAGTGCTTAGTCTTTAGTTTTGTCTAGCTCTCACATCCGTACATGACTACTGGAAAAACTATAATTTGATGATACAGACCTTTGTAGGCAAAGTAATGTCTCTGCTTTTTAATATGCAGTCTAAGTTTGTGATTACTTTTCTTCCAAGGAACAAGCGTCTTATAATTTCATGGCTGCAGTCACCAACCATGATAATTTGGAAGCCCAAGAAATAAAGTCTCCCATCATTTCTATTTTTCCCCATCTATTTGCCATGAAGTGATGAGAGCAGATGCCATGACCTTTGTTTTTTGAATGTTGAGTTTTAAGCCAGCTTTTCCACTCTCCTTTTTCACCTTAATCAGGAGTCTCTTTAATTCCTCTTCTCTTTCTGCAATAAGGGGGGTATCATCTGTATATCAAGGTTAATGATATATCTCCCAGCAATCTTGATTCCAGCTTGTGCTTCATCCAGCCCAGCATTTCACATGATGTACTCTGCATGTAAGTTAAATAAGCAGGGTGACGGAGGCGGGGTGGGGGCCTGGAGGAGGCCGCGGGGGGGCGGGGGGGCAGAGGAGGCGGCGCGGGCCCGAGCCCGGCCCGAGAGAGAGTCACGGGGCGTTCCCCCCAGACCCGAGTCGGTGGCCATGACTGCGCTTCGGGGTCCGCGGCGGCTGTGCTGGTTGGTGCTGGATGAGAGGAGCTGTACGCGACTGGGCGCGCGGGCTTCGCGGGGCCTGCCTGAGATACCCTCCTGCACACGTTAGGCGCCACAGCCGCTGGGACATCTTGACCTATCTGGTTGACACCTGGGACCTGGACATCGAGGCCGTCAACCAGGACTACAAGCGGGCTCTCTCTGCACGAGGCTGCCTCCATGGGACATCCGGACTGCGTGCTGTATCTGCTGGCTCGGGGGGCCGCCGGAAACAACCTGACCAAGCCCACCTGTCAATGACTGCAGGAAAGAAATTAATACATTCCCTTCAGAGGCTGATGTGAACCAGGAATGGTGTTTCCTGCAGAGGCCTTGCTTCTGGCTCTTCAAACCCCAGTTCCTGGTGTGAACCGGCTTGGCCGATGCTCCTGCTTGGGGTAGGGGGGCCGTGTTCGTAGATGCTGCTAGGACACCTTAATGCAAGATGGCAATGAGCCCTGTGAGCCCCATTACCTGGAGCAGCTGTGCCTGTCTCTGCTCCCAGAACCCCGCCAACTCTACCCACTCCCCCACTGATAAGAGCCCTATGGAGCAGGCCCACCCATGGCCTATTGGAGAGCGTGGACTGTACAGTGGGTGCTCAACTTCTCATTTCCTTTGCTTCTCAACACAACTCACTCCATTGGCGGAGAAACATTGGGCAGAAGGACCCTTTTGGGGTGGGTACCAGCTTTATTTACATATCAAAATCCAGAGTAAGGAGGAGATCCTTCCCAGGAAAGGAAAAGGCCCTTCACAAGCAGCAGGGACAAGGTTTCCTGCCGTCCTGCCCTGCTGGTGTGGAACAACTGGCCTGCTCTCAACACACGGCCCCGGGTGCAGTCCTCGGCGAGGGGGCAACACCGTACGTTTACTGTGAGATATTTAATAAGGACTGTGTCTCTGATGGCAATAACCTGTCCGTGCCTTCAGGATAAAAGGAACGAATACTGAAAGCCCAGCCAAAAGCAAGAGTGTCTCAAAGAGGTGAGTGACAGTGAACACCAAGAGGAAGGAGAAATTCAGACAAACAAGGACTGGAAAGGTGTGGCTTTGATTCAGTGGCGGAAGTCATCAGTGACTTGGGAGCAGTTTTGAGGAAAGAAAGGAAAGACAGTCTAGAGTTGCTAGAGATACAGGCAAACCTTTCAAGAAGTTTGTTGTGGGACCTAAGATTGTCTGGTACAAGTGAGAGGGGAAGAGCAGGGTAAGAAATTTATAGAAAGGAGATTTGAAATCATCAGAAGATACAAATTAAATAAAAGTAGCAGGATCACTCAGAGAAGGCAATGGCAACCGACTCCAGTACTCTTGCCTGGAAAATCTCATGGATGGAGGTGCCTGGTAGGCTACAGTCCATGGGGTCGCTAAGAATCGGACACAACTAAGTGACTTCACTTTCACTTTTACTTGCATGCATTGGAGAAGGAAATGGCAACCCACTCCAGTGTTCTTGCCTGGAGAATCCCAGGGACGGGGGAGCCTGGTGGGCTGCCATCTATGGGGTTGCACAGAGTCGGACACGACTGAAGCGACTTAGCAGCAGGATCACTGGGCAGTGCAGCACGGAGACCCTTGGAGAGGGTGACAGGAGAGAAGGATCATCAGTCTCATATGAAACTGGAGTTCTCCCAAGTCAGATATCTGAGAGGACAGAAAGACAAGGGGATCAAGGATTAAGTGAGCATTATTAACATGTCAGCTCTTGGAATTGTTGGGGAGGAAAACACTTCCTCCACCCTCTGAGGTTCAGCTATTGGGAGTCTGCCAGTTAAATTGACAAAAGCAGATAACCATGAGAAAAAAAGATTTACATAGCTTTCCAGGAATGATGTACACATGTGAGAGTTGGACCATAAACAAGGATGAGTGCTAAAGAATTGGTGCTTTCAAACTGTGGTGCTGGAGAAGACTCTTGAGAGTCCCTTGGACTGCAAGGAGAATGAACC